TGTCCCAGTATCAGTCCTACACACAGCGCTGGTCACATCCTAGTATGATTTTCCTCAGATACCTTGTCCCAATATCAGTTTTGCACACCCTGTAGTCACATCTTTGTAAGCCTCATCTCAGATACCAAGTCCCATTATCAATCCTACCCACCCCTCTAGTTACATCCTAGTATGCTACGCCTCAAATAAGGTGTCCCAGTTTCACTTATACACACCCCCTTGGTTTCTAAGCTTCCTAGGGGAGGAAAGATCTGCAACATCAGATCCGTGTATGTAGCTCTATGGGACACGTTTGCATCAACATCACTTTGACAGACAAGTGCTTTTTGGGGGGAAAGACTGTTGACCTGCAAAAGTGTGAGAATAGCTGGGGAATTACATTAATAATAGTTCCTTACAAAAGTCCAACAGATAATGTCCTATATCGCAACAATCCCAATAAAGAACACACAAATGCTTAACTTTACTTCTGAAAAGAACGTTACACTGTCCTGCGTGTTAAAATACGTAGACAGGCTTTCCTCAGTGTACTCAGACCAAACATGAAAGCTATAAAATATGCAATGTGTTGTTTGGGGCAGAAAGAGTTCTGTAGGATTATTTTTGGAAGTCTGAGAGACGCTATTAAAAATAGTTACCCGGTAAACAGGCAGCAGTGAGCCAAAAGAAGTGTGAGCGGTCGTTTACATTGCTTTTTCTCTTCTCTCTCTCTCTCTCTCTCTCTCTCTCTCTCTCTCTCTCTCTCTCTTTTTTTTTTTTTTTTCAGCGGGATAGGATGGAGTGTGCAAACGTGACAATCAGGGTTCTGGGTTGTTAAATATACACGAAATGTTCTAACTCTTGTATTTTTCTTAACATATTAAGCATTCTTGTTTCTTCTTCTTCTTCTTCTCCTTCCTCCTATTCTTTATTTTTTCTATGTTTTCTTCTTCTTCTTCTACTTCTTCTTCTCCTTCTTCTTCTTCTTCTTCTTCTTCTTCTTCTTCTTCTTCTTCTTCTTCTTCTTCTTCTTCTTCTTCTTCTTCTTCTTCTTCTTCTTCAGCTGTCCATAAACTTGAGATTCATTGCTGTAGATATCACCCACCTCAATTCTTCTCTGTGATTCGTCTTATCTTTCCAGTTGATGACTGCTTAATTTAGAATATCACTGCCATATATCTGTATTTTAGTTACTGATCGTAGCTATAATAGTGTTAAATAAAGGAAAAGGGTACTTTTGGTTGACCTTGTGGTGGCAGGTATAAGAATGTGGTTGTTCAACAATTTATTATGTCCTTTCCTGATACTCAAGTGCCTCATCCTAATACTTTTAACAACATAACCAGTAAAGTCGATTGTGAATAGAGTTGCAATTTGCAAAACAATACCCAAAATAAGACAAACTATAGCAGAATAAGTTGCATCAACTTCACAGGTGGTGAAATACACAACCAGGAAACGGCAATATTTTCAAAAAATACAGTCATTAAAAATAAACCCTGCTGTTTCTATATATGATGGGTCCAAGGATTTGTCGATAGGTTGTACTCAAAAGTTTTTAATGATGCTTCGTCTCTTTTAGTTGCACCCAAATTTGAAATCAAGAATAAGCACCAGTAGTTACTTGGAAACAATTAAAGTAAGAAAGGAAAGGAAATGAATACATTTCACTTTTGCTAAATCTTTATGGCGAAGTAATAAACCAGTTTACTTCTAACTTCTCGGACAGACAGAATAGCGCAGCGTGGCAGAAAAACAGACAGGCAGGCATGCAGACAGACAGACAGAAAGGCAGGCAAGCAGGTAGACAGACAGACAACAAACAAATAGTGTAAAATCTACCGACATCAACGTTTCAATGAAAACAGCATGTTATAAAACGCAAAAATATATGTGTGAACTTTATTCAATGACACTGGGCTACAATAAATATACATTTTGTATTAAATATATCAGTTATATTTACTTTTACCTTGCATATTAATTAAAGATAGATTGAGTAAAGTCATACAAATAAAGATAATAAGTGAATTCAAGTAGAATAACATGGTTATTTTACAAATTTAACTGGCCCATTATCAAAAATCACCTATAATTACATTGACGGACCACAAGTATTGGTGTTTGCGGTGTGTTAAATTTTCTGTGTCCTTTTTTTTCTCCTTTCCTTAGTCTTCTTCCTTTTCTTCATATTCTTCCTTTTCTTCTTCTTCTTCTTGTCTTCTTCTTCTTCGTCTTCTTCTTCTTCTTCTCTTCTTCTTCTTCTTCTTCTTCTTCTTCTTCTTCTTCTTCTTCTTCTTCTTCTTCTTCTTCCTTTTCTTCTTTTTTCTTTGTCTTCTTTTTATTATTATTATTAATATTATTATTATTATTATTATTGTCTTCTTCTTCTTCTTCTTCTTCTTCTTCTTCTTCTTCTTCTTCTTCTTCTTCTTCTTCTTCTTCTTCTTCTTCTTCTTCTTCTTCTTCTCTTCTCTTTCTTTCTTCTTCTACTATTCCTTCTTCTTCTTTTTCTTCTTCTTCTTATTATTATTATTATTATTTATTATTATTATTATTATTATTATTATGGTCTTCTTCTTCTTCGTCTTCTCCTTTTTTTTCTTCTTCTTCTTTTTCTTTTTTTTCTTCTTCTTCTTCTTCTTCTTCTTCTTCTTCTTCTTCTTCTTCTTCTTCTTCTTCTTCTTCTTCTTATTCTTTCTTCTTCTTCTTCATCTTAGATTTTTCTTCTTCTTCTTCTTATCTCTTCTTCTTCTTCGATAGAAAAACGACAAATTTGAATATGAATATGAATTTTTTTCCCAACGAATTGTTATAGTTCCTTGTGTCCTTAAAACTTTTGCTTATTTCTTATGACAAAGAAGGGCAGTTAGAAAGCTCAGTGCTGCAAATCTATACTTTTATCTGTTATCCACAATGACTAGGAGCTGTCATGGGTCACAGCTGCCTTTTCAAAAACCTACATTCTCTTTGTCATCGCATCTCTTTGGTTGATGAATGATGTTCATTGCGGCCATACGACCAATTCTCATCGGGACGAATTTATAAAGAAAAAACCTCTTGAGTTTCAGTGAAATAATTCAGTTTTTGATGCTTCATTAAGTATTAATGTAACTCTTTAGTAACTCACCTGAAAAGATTAAGCGAAACATGCCACAGTAAAAAAAAAAAAAAATAATAATAATGTGTCCGCATTATTTAAACTGGGATATGCTGAGCTTAAAGGCCCAGATATTCCAGTCTGATTGTAAACACAATAAAATGGCCTTTTTTATCCCCCAGGGTAAACGCAAAAGAAGCATATTTGATTCTTTCGTAATATCCTTTCCCAGATGACGTCATAGGACAGTCTAACATTTTTGGAGGGTGGTAAGACTTGGTTTCCCGGCTTTCTGATGCTTTTAACGACCCCAAAACATCTAGAACTGGCCCAAACCCCCAACCCACAAAAGAGTGCAGCCAAGTCAGAAAGTCAGCCCTGACAGATGAGGAACCAGCAGTCTGTATAAAAAAAAGCCAGATCAGGAAAAACAGGTGTGCATGCAATATTATAGTCATGGAACAGGACCAAATCCCAGAAGTGAACGAACAATTATTTCTATATATATGTAATGCGAACTCTAAGATGTTTGCATAATAATGTGACTGTTATAGATGGCTTTAGGCGATCCTAGAAACACTATAACATAGACCAGGGCTATTCAACAGGCGGCTCGCGGGCCAAATCTGGCCCGCGGAGGGGGCATAGCAAGTGGCTTGCAAATTATTCCGAGTTGTAATGTATTAGTGATCTTTTTATGCTTATGCTCGGGCATCCGGCCCGTGACGATTCCCATTTTCAAAATGTTGGCCCCTGAGTACATTTAGTTGAATAGCCCTGACATAGACCAACATTTCTAACAAATATGTGGCACATGCTGTTTACATTCAGGACTATTTTTTGTCTCCTGTCCTTTGCCGAGCAGTCAGCGACAGTTTATTTATAACATCAGTTTTGAATAGAAACCGCATAATTTTGCCGGCAATGTTGCATATAATGTATATGGGGTGTTGTATAAACATACGTTTAACGTTTTTCTTTTGACTGTACAGATAAATTCTCAAACGAAGGCACTGGAAGTGCCGGATATCATGGCGTGTTTAAAGACTCTAGCTGAAGTTGACCTTTAACCCACTCAGCCCACTTGACCAACTTCTGAATGGGTTGATGAGAAGTGAGACCTAATGAAAGCTACGTTTCTAGCAAAACCACAGTGGATGCACCGTCCTGATCGTACTTTAGTGGGCTTTGTAGAACGAATAAGGAAGCTGATTTCAAGAGGTCATGCAGTTAAAACATTCCTTCTGCGTAAAGCAAACATAGCCAAGTCTTTCCGCGAAATTCTGATAAGCAATCACAATAGTAAATGCAGCAGCTTGTTTACTGGTTCTTGAAGTCAGTTTTTAAGTGTGAATCTGGAGTGTCTGAATTCGATGTGTCACTGGAACAATAAGCTAGGCAACATTTTCTGGGAGATAAATAATTAACTGCATTTCAAATTTAGAATGCTGCAAACAGCCTCAGTACGTGTTGTCTGCATATGGTTTCACTAGACGACGTCATGCTTAGTCGTTTGCCATTGCTTCTGAACAGTTCGCCCTCTTACTATTGTCAAAATCAACGCAATCCGAAAACAATTCTCTACGTCTGTTGTACGAAACAAATTGCCAAGAGAGACGGGGAGCTTTCAAGATTTTGCCGTTTAGCCACAGAAACACAACGTCTATTTTATATATTAAATTTTGAAATGTTCTCCGTACTGAAAAGTTTATTAAAGTTGTGTTCGTGTCTTTGACTATTTTAGAAAAATTTGCGTGAAACACATAATCTAAAACAAAAAGCGTGATACCGGTTAAATAATATGTTCATTTTTCTTCCCTTGTTAGCTATGCGTAATAATTTTTGAACTGCAAGAAAGTTCCCTTTCTGTTGTACTTCTTATTCTGTGCTATCAAACATTCGGTATCTACCTCTGACATTTCTATTTTTTTAGTGGGTGATCTTTTATGTATTCCACAAGAAACTGAACACCCTTAGCTCTAGCCTGTATGTTGTGACCGTTTTCTATCACGATGGGCAGCTCAAAAGTGGCCTTGTCCAGCTTTCCTGCAAAAGGGTTGTTTATGAATACGTGAACTTTCCTTTGGCCAAGAGTCTTGTAGGGTATCAGAGTCGTTTCCCCTCGAGCCCTGGGTGTCAATACATACTCAGCTTCTCTCTTCCAGAGATCAAGAAATGCATCCAGAGTTTTACCTTGATAATCAATCTCAAACTCCAGCCAGTAGAGATTATCTTTCAAAAGCACTGGATCAGGAAGTGAGGCGATATCTTCCGCAACACCCAGATTTCGCGCGAAGATATCGTAATGAAGCAAAGGTACACTGCTAATATCAACCGAGCCCAAATCCCACAGAGCTTCTATAAAGTTTTCAAAAGCGACAATGTAGGGAACATCCACAACAGCAATCACTCTTGCCTCTCCAGAAACTTTAAATTTATACACGACTTTTACGTTTCCAGCAAAGTTCTCGAATGTGTCGTTTATTCCGTGAATCAAATTTCGCAGATTTAACCCACTTTTCTGTGGTAAAATTGTAATAGTAAGAAAATACGTCTGAATTCCCTTCTCAGTCGCCATCTTCGACGTTATCTCAACGTCTATAAGCAATAGGTTCAAACTGTGTCAGTTCTTGCAGCCAGTGGAGCAGGGTGGTAACATGACATTCAACGCGCAGTAGGGGAACTAAGGAGTGTTATTCCTGGTTGGGCTTGTAACGAAAACAGGATATGCGCACATGACCTTCAGAGATTATTTCTAGAACACTCTCCTCTCCCCCTTCTCGCTCTCAGTCTCTTTCTCTCTCTCTCTCTCTCTCTCTCTCTCTCTCTCTCTCTCTCTCTCTCTCTCTCTCTCTCTTTCTCTCTCTCTCTCTCTCTCTCTCTCTCTCTCTCTCTCTCTATCTCTATGTGGGTGTCTAGTGGATTAAGTAAATATCATGTGCAGAACTAACAATCTAATTTTTTTTCTGTTAATTACAAAATAAACAGGAACGGTCAACAATTAACGTCACAGTAATCGGAGAGAAACTAGAACTAGTTACATATTTATGCTATTTTGCAAAAATTACTTACATCGAGAGAGAGATAGAGAGAGAGAGAGAGAGAGAGAGAGAGAGAGAGAGAGAGAGAGAGAGGGAGAGAGAGAGAGAGAGAGAGGGAGAGAGAGAGAGAGAGAGAGAGAGAAGCTAAACATTGAAGAAAGAGTTGTCAAATAATACGTATACTCAACCCTTCTGTATGGTGCAAAGATCTGAAAAATGAACAAGTAAAAAGGAAATCACGAGAGTCGCCGTGGTCTAGCGCCTAGATGATCGCCTTGGAAACGGAAGGTAGTGGGTTCGGTTCCTGATGAGTGTCGGATTTTTTTAAAAATGATATTGGCTCCCAGGTCGACCCAGCCTTGAGTGGGTATCAGTTGCAGTCCTGGGAAGTAAAGGCGGTCGGCGTGATGCTAACCACATCACCCACCAAGTGCCGTTTTGTCGATAAAATATAGGTCTAACCCTATATATCCAATAAGCCTGAAAGAAGTCAAAAATAGTCAGAAAAACGGTACTTTACTTTATTAGGAAATGATATTCTACCTCCTATTTCGTTATCGACACTGAGCTCCGGCGGAAAGTCTTGGTTGTTAGTTCATTTGGACTTTGGCTTTGATTCAGGGCCTGAGTTTCGCATGCACATCAGTTTTACTGGCATATTTGTGTTCAGTTGGTTTTTCATTGCCTCTCAGGCAGATGCACTCCGCCTTTGAAAGAAGTCCCCAGTTAGTCGACTACTACGACATGCTTGCGGGGAAGGCTGTGGGTCTATTGTCCCCCCCCCCCCCGGTGCGGTCCTCAAAATACACACAGAGGGGGGGGGGATGATTCATAATCAGTCTCAGGAGATGAAGATATAAGGAAGGACATACTTATTTCACAGGGAGGGGGTAGAGACACGGTTATATTTGGGGATTTTGAAAAGATTAGGATGAAAAGACAGCTACTGAAGCAAAACGAAAAAGACTAGCGACACAATTCGACCATTTCATAAAAACCATATTCTGGGTAGGGGGGGGGAGAAGGAAGAAAGTTGAAAGCGAGTGAACAAGATACAAGTAGGAGGATAACATCAGGATCGACGAACGACAATATAGGGTGAAAGACAGAGAGAGCGTGTTGGAAATCCATTGCAGCCATCTTTTTTTGTGGAGAGGGCACCTGATCAGTTGATGTATGCGAGGGCGTGTGCGCGGGCGCGTGTGTGCATGTGTTACCTCAGTAAGCAGACTTCAGTACACCTGATGTTTTCTGAACACTGGAGAAACTTGGGGGGAAGGAGCGGGGGGGGGGTGAGGGCTGGGTACAGTATAAACAATTTAAGTAATCGTTTACAACATTAAAGTCTTAAACATCAAACACGGCGGGGGAAAACTTTTAATAAACAAGAAAACCAAATTCACCAGCCGTGCGGACAATCAAAAACAAAAATGACAGTAAATGTGTTCAACTCAGCTGCACTTACCTCCACAAGAAAGAAGTCTCTTGCAGGTCTCATATATTTCACCACCCCACACTGCTGCAGCACAATTTTACAAAATGCGAAATAAAATATTTTGGAATTCTACGAGGGAAGGCAAAGATCGAACAAAAACACAGTATTTATTTTAAATGGAAAGTTAGAGAAAAGACCATCAATGCATAGTATTCACGGATATTTAAAAAACAATTATAAACCTTTCTCTTTTCTGTTTTTTTTTTTTTTTTTCCGAATGTTTAGTCATTCCACGCGTTAATTTTCTGTTTACGCACATCAGAACGTGTATGAAATAAATTCAGGGCAGTGTAAGTAAGAGAGAAAAGAAAATCGCCACACTTAGGTTTCCTGTTCTCCTGGCTCAGTTGTCCTTCTAAGGTATAAAATTGTATTTATGCTAATTGTTTCTTGTCATCACTATATATTTTTTCTTTTGAATACATCTTTTAACTCACAGACGTACTCTGAAAAGACAAAGTTATTTATCACACACAATAGATTAAAAAGCTTAATTATAAAGGTAATTACTGGTGCTGTTTTTAAATACAGTTAAATTTGTAGAAAAAAAAAATGTATATTGTGTTACCTGGTTCCTCAGCAGTCGCTCGCAGTAACTAAAGTGATCATTCACATCTATGGCCCTGTATTATTTTAAAATAGTAATGAATGCAAATCCCAGACAAAGATCATGATCCACATAAAGACAACTGCAATACATTTTTGTTATGTTTTAATTAAATTTAAAACGACTTAAGTGAGAATAATTTTTTTTTAATGCGTTTGTTGAGTATTTCAGCCAAAACACAAAAAACAAAACCACACACACACACACACACACACACACACACACACACACACACACTTATTTAAAATTGAGAAAAGTTAAGTCTCGCAGATTTAGAGTCTGACAGATTACAATCTAAAGTATGAGGATCAGGCGGAGGTGACTGTGTCCGTTTTGAGCAAGTTGGTTAGCGCGTAATTATGTTACACATGCAGTCATAGCAAATAAAAACCTTTTCATTTAATTTCACTTGGGTCATGTTGCTTGTTCATGACATGTATACCGTCGTCAACATCATCAGCATCAGAACGTCACCTTCTTCTTCTTGTTTACTTCTTCGTCTTTTCTTCTGTTTCTCATCTACTTCTTCTTCTTATTTTTTTCTTTTCTTCTTCTTCTTCTTATTCTTCCTCTTCTTCTTCTTCTTCTTCTTCTTCTTCTTCTTCTTCTTCTTCTTCTTCTTCTTCTTCTTCTTCTTCTTCTTCTTCTTCTTCTTCTTCTTCTTCTTCTTCTTCTTTTTCCTTTTCTGTTTTACCACTGCACCAGCTACCTGAACTATTATTGCCACTAACAACACCATCACTACTATGACTACTACTACAAAATGATTTATGGTTTCGTTGCTTCGTTGACTTCTTCTTCTTCTTGCCTTTCTCCTCATGCCATTAGGAGTCATAGTAGAAAGTACTTATTTACTAGCTTTTATGTGACACTTGCATGGTTAAGTGCTTGTGACATTCAGCCGGTCCATTCCTTATTGCACACCCCGACACTCGCTGTGTTCCCACGACATTTAAATGTCAATGTTATTTAGGATAAACTGTTGATGCATAAACCACCCCTCTGACTCTCGGAAAATGTATTGCCCATCGCTGAACACTCTATCTTGCTAGTGTCATCAGTTCTCGTCATTCTTCTGATCATATACAATTACTAGGTATGTACTAAAGGTAAGAACCCTTTTCTCAGCACTGACGCACAGGGCATATGGATGCAAGACTTATATTTTTCGACCAAATGATACTCGGTAGGAGCGTGGGGAGAAGGGGGGGGGGGGTTGTTGGAAACATCAAGCGAACCACCTTTGCTTCCCATGACTTTACTTTCGGCGTGTCGACGTGGGAGCCAAGGTCATTTACAGACTATTAGTCTTGGGTTCAAATCATCATCTATGATGATTTTTGTTTTAAAAAAAATTTAAGGAGTTTCCTGGTTAACCTGTTCAACAATTTGATAGGGCCTGCACCCATGAAGCCGTGGGTGTTTCCGACTGAGAATGCAAGTCTCTTAGGACCCATTCAAATCCTACACGGTCCTACCCCGTGACAATCAGCCAAGGACAGTTAACGGTAGTAATATGAAACGGATTCAAGATCGCGCGACGTCACACAGTCAGCTATAAGGTTATCATCTGTAACATGAAACTGGTCGAAAGTCGTTTCACTAGGGCATCAGAGGAACGAGTTTATTTTCTGGACCCACTAGGAGCCAGACACAAAACAGTTTAAGGATAGGAGAAAGACAGGAGTACATTCAACGAATCAACGACGTTCAGACTTGTCTCTTACATTTTCTGTAGGGAGACGGCATCTGTTCGGGACCTCAAGACAAAAACATTGACCCTTTGACGCCCTACACCAAATACTTGTGGATTACTGTACAGGAGTGTTGATAAACATTTTTCTCCTGGAGGAATTAGTCATTTGGGGATCTCTCTCTCTCCTCCTCCTCCTCTTCTGTATCTCTCTCAGTTGTTATTTTTTTTCTTTTTCTTATGTTAACATGTACCTCTCTTTCCCTCTCTAGTTCGATGTGTGAGTGCTTGTGAACTGTTAATTATTATTAATTGTTGTCACAACTATTACTAGTATGTTTAAGTGTATGTATGCCTATATGCATGAATATAGTATTTTATTTATAAATTTATGCTTGAACACAAGGCTAATGGTACATGAGAGAAACATGATAACTTTTGTACACCATTTACACACTCGTGTGAGCATGCAGAGAGTCGGTAGCCCAGAACCCAAGTTTAAGTCTCCTTCGTGCCAAAGAGCTGCATGGTTGTGGGTTGCACAATCGTTAACGAAGGCAGCAAGGTCGTACAGGGGCAACACATTGCTGATGGGTGTTACGCCCCTGGCCTCTTCTCCAGCACGAGGGCACCACTGGGGTGACCGTTAATAAACCGTCACTACTTACGGTCAAAATGGAGGCTAGTCAAGGTCACTGTTGTGAGCAGTGGCAAATTTCTTTGCTTCTGTCAGACGGTGCAG